GGGTGATACCCGGAGCGGTTACCGGGTGTCACCCTGCCGAGACGTCACCGCGCATGCGCGGCGATCTTCTGATACCTGCCGGCGGCCATCTTGGTAATGGACGCCGGGAGAGAGAGGAGGGGACAGCCACCCGGCGGGATAAGGTATGCCGCTGGGTCCCATCCTCTCTCCTGATACTGTCGGGCGTTCAGTCCATGACCGAGCGCTTGACACCCGGGTGCGGGCCGCACCCCCCTTGTGACGCCACTGGCTGCGCTCACAAATGTCTGACACAGATCAGCTATTGCTGCACCTTGCTACAAAGTTACAATGCGCAGACTGATCACTGGGGGAAGGTAGACTGAGGAGATGCTTAATCTTGCCTGCAGCAGACTGACCACTGGGGGAGGGGAGACTGAGGAAATGCTTCCTCCTGCCTGCAGAAGACTGATGACATAATTTCGGCCTAGGCAATGTCACTGACTGTAGCTAAAGGATGGATTTTTAATGATAAGAGGCGGAGCTTCTCTAAAATATAATCCAGTTGCTGTATATTGTGACTTGTCAGAGATTCATTCTCAGAGGAGACTTGTAACGTTGCTGAGAAGACATTTGAAGTGTCTCTATTATGTAATATACATCGTACAGTGAATCTCGGATAAACGCAGAGCACACATGGGGACCTCAGGTAATTCGAGGACCTGTCACTCTGTACGGGTGGTGAAGACGATCGTTTCCAGAAGACAAAGAGTCATTGTGCGGGAAATCATCGCCTTATTAATCGCATTCCTGACAGGCGTCCTTCCTCTCCCGATTGTAATTCAAACGCAGTGACCTTCCAAAGTGCGTCCGGCAACCGACTGCGAGACAATTCCATATTTCACCAGAAGACCATCGTCTCCCATATCACGGGGGATTTCAGGAACATATACAACTTCAAGATGGGGGGGGGTTGTCTATGAAATGTGAAGATTGGGTCTATCTGAGAGGCGGCAACACTGCTGGTAAGTAAGAGGTGGCAGCTTACAACAGGAAGTGCTGTTACTGGCGGGATCTCCAGGTAAGAAACATCAGTACCTGACCTCACAAATGGTCCAACATTCCCATAGACACACCCCTAAACCTTGTGGACGCCTTCCCAGAAGAGGCGGAGCTGTTATAGCGGCAAAGGGCGGAGCCAACCCAATACTGAACCCTACGGACTAAGACTGGGGGGCCATTAGAGTTCATGTGCGTGTGCTGGCGTCCCAATACTTCTGGCAATACAGAGTATATAAAGGAACATACTGATATTAGAAGTCGGGTTTATATACTTTTAAATGATTTTACATTATTGGACTCGTTTTTTTTCTGAGGTTCCGAGATGAAACACCAAACCACAGAAGAGAAAACACAAGTGACTGTTTGCTTATCCAGGTTCAGTCCCGTCATGTGACTGAGGCGGGGTACCTGGTATGTCACAGGAAGCTGCATTAGGAAAAAGTGGGGTCACCTCCTGGCATGAAGGAGTGTGTGAGTCATCAGACTGGCTGGACAGAATCGAGAATCGTTCACATACAGTATGTCTTATATGTTGTACATTTAGCTGCTTGCCGGAGTTCCCCTTTAAGTTTATATTACAGAGTGCAGAGACATTATCTGTAATGTCAGCAGAGGAACTCCGCAGCACAGAGACAAATTCCAGATATTCCTCTGTAAACAAAAACTAATTCCACGTGTCTGTGAGATTCTGTCAGGCGGCATCAACACCTCCCGTCTAAATGTATCACACCGACTGTAATTACTGCAGAGGAGTCATGTGCCAGAGAGGACGGGTTATCACAGTATGCACACAGGAAGGAGCAGAGACTTCCAGCAGAGCAGAGTATATCAGGAGAGGAGAGTTATAGAGGAAGGAGCAGAGTCCTCCAGCAGAGCAGAGTATATCAGGAGAGGAGAGTTATAGAGGAAGGAGCAGAGTCCTCCAGCAGAGCAGAGTATATGGGGAGAGAGGAGTTATAGAGGAAGGAGCGGAGTCCTCCAGCAGAGCAGAGTATTTCAGGAGAGGAGAGTTATAGAGGAAGGAGCAGAGTCCTCCAGCAGAGCCGAGTGTTTCAGGAGAGGAGAGTTAGAGAGGAAGGAGCAGAGTCTTCCAGCAGAGCAGAGTATATATGGGGAGAGAGGAGTTATAGAGGAAGGAGCGGAGTCCTCCAGCAGAGCAGAGTATTTCAGGAGAGGAGAGTTATAGAGGAAGGAGCAGAGTCCTCCAGCAGAGCCGAGTGTTTCAGGAGAGGAGAGTTAGAGAGGAAGGAGCAGAGTCTTCCAGCAGAGCAGAGTATATATGGGGAGAGAGGAGTTATAGAGGAAGGAGCGGAGTCCTCCAGCAGAGCAGAGTATTTCAGGAGAGGAGAGTTATAGAGGAAGGAGCAGAGTCCTCCAGCAGAGCCGAGTGTTTCAGGAGAGGAGAGTTAGAGAGGAAGGAGCAGAGTCTTCCAGCAGAGCAGAGTATATATGGGGAGAGAGGAGTTATAGAGGAAGGAGCGGAGTCCTCCAGCAGAGCAGAGTATTTCAGGAGAGGAGAGTTATAGAGGAAGGAGCAGAGTCCTCCAGCAGAGCCGAGTGTTTCAGGAGAGGAGAGTTAGAGAGGAAGGAGCAGAGTCTTCCAGCAGAGCAGAGTATATATGGGGAGAGAGGAGTTATAGAGGAAGGAGCGGAGTCCTCCAGCAGAGCAGAGTATTTCAGGAGAGGAGAGTTATAGAGGAAGGAGCAGAGTCCTCCAGCAGAGCCGAGTGTTTCAGGAGAGGAGAGTTAGAGAGGAAGGAGCAGAGTCTTCCAGCAGAGCAGAGTATATATGGGGAGAGAGGAGTTATAGAGGAAGGAGCGGAGTCCTCCAGCAGAGCAGAGTATTTCAGGAGAGGAGAGTTATAGAGGAAGGAGCAGAGTCCTCCAGCAGAGCCGAGTGTTTCAGGAGAGGAGAGTTAGAGAGGAAGGAGCAGAGTCTTCCAGCAGAGCAGAGTATATATGGGGAGAGAGGAGTTATAGAGGAAGGAGCGGAGTCCTCCAGCAGAGCAGAGTATTTCAGGAGAGGAGAGTTATAGAGGAAGGAGCAGAGTCCTCCAGCAGAGCCGAGTGTTTCAGGAGAGGAGAGTTATAGAGGAAGGAGCAGAGTCCTCCAGCAGAGCCGAGTGTTTCAGGAGAGGAGAGTTATAGAGGAAGGAGCAGAGTCCTGCAGCAGAGGAAGGAGCAGAGTCCTCCGGCAGAGCAGGGTATTTCAGGCTCCTCCCCTCTCCTCTGATGTCACTGCACACTGGGAGCTTCTCACAATGTACATTAGAAGCTGCGGCAACTCAGATAGAGCTCCGCCTCATTTCCTGGTTGGAGGACGTCCAGCATCATCTAGCCATTTTCTCCCCAGTGTGACTGCCCCTAGCCCTGGATTTCAGTTCTTTCAATCATGGAGGCTCAGCATCACACGGGGGCATTTCTTCGGGCGGTCTCTATGTAGGTTGGCATCTGATAATGATTTCGGGTTGTACACCTTGCTCTCTAGCCCCGCCCACTTTCCAGCAACCTATCTCTACATTACTCAGAGATGAATTCCTCTTCCCCAAATC